ATGTTCAATTTTTTTCTCCACGAGTGCACTTTTATGGAAATACTTGTAAAATCAGTAGAGTAAAAAAAGGTTTTAAAATATTTTCTTTAAGTTACCTGTGATATATATATACCGTGATAGACACATCAGCTATCGATATTTACCGTGATAGACACATCAGCTATCGATATTTACCGTGATAGACACTTCAGCTATCGATATTTACCGTGATAGACACTTCAGCTATCGATATTTACCGTGATAGACACTTCAGCTATCGATATTTACCGTGATAGACACATCAGCTATCAATATTTACCGTGATAGACACCTCAGCTATCGATATTTATCATGATAGACACTTCAGCTATCGATATTTACCGTGATAGACACATCAGCTATCGATATATACCGTGATAGACACTTCAGCTATCGATATATACCGTTATAGACACATCAGCTATCGATATTTACCGTGATAGTCACATCAGCTATCGATATTTACCATGATAGACATATCAGCTATCGATATTTACCACGATAGACACATCAGCTATCGATAGTTACCGTGATAGACATTTCAGCTATCGATATTTACCGTGATAGACACCATCGATATGTTTTCACATAATCCATACAGGGTGATGTTAGGTACATGTAAGAAATCAGCATGTAGACTATCGTTGTCAGAACCAATCCATTAAAATGTACGGAACAACCTACTCTTCATGCTTTGCCAAGACAAGAAAAACTCGTGAAAAAAATAACAAATATTATTTCTGTGCTTTTAATGTTCACAATAAGTGGTCAATTTTGATTTTTAGAAATGGACGTATTATATAAATATTTGCTTTCTTTTAAGAAATTATTTCGATTTGGATCCATACTTACCTATATAGGTATATGTAAACACTTGCAATAGTTAGAGATCACGCAGTGCCGCTAGGTTTACCTTAAGGATTATCTCCCTTTGATTTTAATACTGATATACTTAGGGATTTTCAGAAAGTTGCAATGAAGTAACATTGAGACAGTCACTCACACGTGCCAATGAATCATATAGGTATATATGTAGGATAAAATAACTAAATATTGATGTTTTATTGAAGTATCATTGAAACAGTCACGTGTCAGTGAGTTATATAGGTGTATATGTAGGATAAAATAACTAAATATCCGTCCTTTATTTTTCGTTTGACCTGGACATCTATATATATTAATTTTTTTGGTTCGACACTGTTAATTTAGACACGTTAAGCTTTACTCGCTTCACATCGTAATCAAAAAATCTCTCGCCTGCATTTATTTTAAATTCTTTTAAAGTTCTAATCTAACACGGAAGGTGTCTACTGAACCTTGTAACTGGTAAATATTCCGTTAGGGAGGTAGTACTAGGTTAGGGGTGAACTACATATATGGTGGGGAGGGGGGCGCCGGTCACAGTCAGGTGAGGTATAACAGATGCCCCACTGTTTACAAGGTAAATGTCCGTACATGTCCTTTCGCCATAACAATAGATAGTCATCGGACAAGGGCTACGGTGTAATACACTGCTATCGAACAAGGCCTAAGATAAAATACACTGGCATCGGACAAGGGCTCAGATATATCACACAGCCATCAGACAAGGGCAAAGATATATCACACAGCCATCGGACAAGGGCAAAGATATATCACACAGCCATCAGACAAGGGCAAAGATATATCACACAGCCATCAGACAAGGGCAAAGATATATCACACAGCCATCAGACAAGGGCAAAGATATATCACACAGCCATCAGACAAGGGCAAAGATATATCACACAGCCATCGGACAAGGGCTACGGTATAATACACAGTCATCGGACAATGGCCGAGATATATCACAAAGCCATCGGACAAGGGCTAAGATATGATGCACGGCCATCGGACAAGGGCTAAGATATAATACACTGGCATCGGACAAGGGCTACGGTATAATACACAGCCATCGGACAAGGGCTAAGATATAATACACAGCCATCGGACAAGGGCTAAGATATAATACACAGCCATCGGACAAGGGCTACGGTATAATACACAGCCATCGGACAAGGGCTAAGATATAATACACTGGCATCGGACAAGGGCCAAGATATATATCACACAGCCATCGGACATGGGCTAAGATATATGTCATACAACCTTCGGACAAAGGCCGAGATATATCACATAGCCGTCGGACAAGGGCCGAGATATATATTTCACAGCCGTCACACAAGGGCCAAGATATATTTCACACAGCCGTCGGACAAGGGCCGAGATATATATCACACAGTCATCTGACAAGGGCCGAGATATATCACATAGCCGTCGGACAAGGGCCGAGATATATCACACAGCCGTCGGACAAGGGCCGAGATATATCACACAGCCGTCGGACAAAGGCCGAGATATATCACATAGCCGTCGGACAAGGGCCGAGATATATATTTCACAGCCGTCACACAAGGGCCAAGATATATTTCACACAGCCGTCGGACAGGGCCGAGATATATATCACACAGTCATCTGACAAGGGCCGAGATATATCACATAGCCGTCGGACAAGGGCCGAGATATATCACACAGCCGTCGGACAAGGGCCGAGATATATCACACAGCCGTCGGACAAGGGCCGAGATACATCGGAGATCACGGAAAGAAGGATAGAAAAGACTAAACCATACAGATTTCTTTACCTTAGTTACTAACGCGGTTGTTATAGACAGAAGGCGGTTACCGTTATACACAGGTACAATCTAAGGCAGATCAGAATCTAGTATATAAAAGTACGGACTACAAGGATACATTCCCCGTCTATCTGTCTGTATCTCTCTGTCTGTTTCTTTGTCTGTTTGTCTCTGTCTCTGGCTGTCGGTCTGTCTTGCTGTCTGTCTGTCTCTGTCTGTCTGTCTGCCTCTCTCTCCCCCTCCCCCCTCTCTCTCTGTTATTTTTATTTAGCTACACTGTATATTTGTACATGTGTGCTCCTTTCACCATTAACAACACTGAATCTTTCCGCTTTTGTCCTGCCTTTGTACCTGGTGGTAGTTATCGAGATTGCTTCCCAACAGGTACACTGAATTACCCATTAGTATGTATGCCTTACTAATAATAATTAATCAATAACTCACTACAGTGGTAATGTTTGAACAACTAACGCCCATACTCAATTATATCGTACCATTCGGACAGTAATTACCAAACAAATGACAAAGTTTGCGACATAATGAGACAAACATCTACCTTTCCGGATTATCGATCACGAAAACCGATTTATTATTAGTATGTACGTGTTTTTTAATTGAGGCATGTTATTGTGTAATCCAATTCTTTGTATATCTTACTTGTTTACAATCTTTCAAATGCTTGTGATTGTCAATAAGTATATTGACAATAAACCACATAACAACGAGGATGACGTCACGCAGAAATCAATCATAGCTTGTTAATATGGATAGGTTTTTCTAAGTTTATACAATTATGTGATTTTAATGGAATACAAGCTCCTCTTCGCATCGGATACGTGTGCTTTTCACTGTCACAATGATAATATCCTGTCTTAATCTTATCCTACTGTTTATGATTTCAAGATATGACACCATCCTTATAGAGTTTTATAGGTAGATCTACAGCTGTCTGATCAGGGCGGGACACCATCCTTATAGAGTTTTATAGGTAGATCTACAGCTGTCTGATCAGGGCTGTACACCATCCTTATAGAGTTTTGTATGTAGATTTACAGCTGTCTTGATCAGAGAAGGACACCATCCTTATAGAGTTTTGTAGGTAGATCTACAGCTGTCTGATCAGGGCTGTACACCATCCTTATAGAGTTTTGTAGGTAGATCTACAGCTGTCTGATCAGGGCTGTACACCATCCTTATAGAGTTTTGTAGGTAGATCTACAGCTGTCTGATCGGAGAGGGACATTAATCTTATAGAGGTTTGTATGTAGATTTACAGCTGTCTGATCAGGGAGAGACACCATCCTTATAGAGTTTGTATGTAGATCTACAGCTGTCTGATCAGGGCTGTACACCATCCTTATAGAGGTTTGTATGTAGATTTACAGCTGTCTTGATCAGAGAAGGACACCATCCTTATGGAGTTTTGTAGTTAGATCTACAGCTGTCTGATCAGGGCTGTACACCATCCTTACAGAGTTTTGTATGTAGATCTACTGCTGTCTGATCAGGGCTGTACACCATCCTTATAGAGGTTTGTAGGTAGATCTTCAGCTGTCTTGATCAGAGAGGGACACCATCCTTATAGAGTTTTGTAGGTAGATCTACAGCTGTCTGATCACATCTGATAATCGACACACCATTTCAGTAAAGTAAACCCATATCCAAAAGTTCCCTTGATAGGTTGTGTAAAATATTGAGCCCGAACAAGATATCGTAAAGACGGATTGACGGAAGGACACAACGTATAAAGACAGTCCTATCCGGTTTCCAGTGGAGCTAATTAGTTAACATCTCATTGATTATGCATTTTCCCCATTTAATTTTCTAATTTTAAAATTCTGATTCTAGATACGAAATTTTAGAAAATAATTATCAAACTTTGGTTGAGCGTGGTACATTATACTGACGAAAATAACCAAGAAAATACAGCCATGTCAACGAACTCGAAAATTCTGATTTGATGAAACTAGGAGACTCATGAAAAGGTTCAAACAGAGTAAGACCAGGTGTTCTTTAAGGGTAAGCAACTTCTGCTGAAGTAAGTAATGTCTTGTTCCCATGTAAGAACACGATAAACAACAACGGAACTAACAGGTATACTAACGAGCACCAAACGTTTTCAACGTCATATCGTATACTTAAACAGACTATTTCTCATCATTATCAGTAATACTACGGTACGACATGTGTACAGTTATTTCAGTTTTACTATGATTTTTATTATGAATCTTACTATCGTTTCAGAAGTACCAATAACAGATTAGAGGGTTTCCACCAGACGACAGGACTACATCAATACGCTGCCTGACTACCATAACATTTATGACCATGTCTCAGAAACAGGTGGACACTTCTCGACCATTCTTTCAGAGACAAGAAGGTACGGCCATGTAAAAATTACACACCTTTCCGATAAATATCAAAAAGCCAACCCTATGATATATGCAGTATGACAGTCAACACACCACCAAACCCCATAATACCTACAGTATGACGTCACCACTCCACCAAACTCTATGATACCTACAGTATGACAGTCACAAACACCACCAAACTCTTTGATACCTACAGTATGACGTCAACACACCACCAAACTCTTTGATACCTACAGTATGACGTCACCACACCACCAAACTCTATGATACCTACAGTATGACAGTCACCACACCACCAAACTCTATGATACCTACAGTATGACGTCACCACACTACCAAACTTTACCGAAGAATATTTCGTTTCTTTATAAAATCAATGTTGATGTATAACATAACCTTAAGCTGTGTAAGTCACACATCCTGAACACAGTTCATTGTCCACTGTTGTATAATGATATCTGTAAAGGCAAAACGATCTCAGTCGGAGATTAGTGTCGCGTGTCTTTTCAAAACAAAATATGACAGTTATTAAAATAAATGATTCACGGGAAAGAGATATACTTCAAAAGAATGTTTACTGACGAATAAGAACAATAATATTAGGTCATGCTTATCGTCAATTTCAATAAGAGATATAAGGTCGACAAAACATCAGCGATCTTGGCTCACTAAACGAGCCTTTATCAGAACGACGAGATACACTGATTTGATGCGAAACAGGTGTGCTGTATAGTAGAACCTTGGCACGTGTTTTGTACGGAGTATATACGGGGTTTTGTTAACCAAACTACCAGGTTTAGTGAATGCTTTGTCGGTAAATAAATCGCAGCTGTATCGACTTTGGTATGTACAGATCTTCCTGATAATCATTTTCTGTCGTGTGTCTTTAAAATAATATTACTCTTCACTATAGAATATAGAAAGTCAAGGTTTCTCTCATAAAATCGTAATAACTGAATATTAGTGATAAAGGAAATTGAAAGAATGAAAGAGAGTGACATTTCTATGTATAAGCAGAAATAAATGAATTGGGGGCGTGTAAGGAGCGGGGAGACTTAGATTAGAGTGCAGTGGCGAAGCCTCGGTATGAGGGATGGCTAGGGGCTGTGTTTCAAAGAAAGTTTTGATATTTTCAATCAATTTTGACAACTGAGATCGAAGTATTTGCAGTGAAAATATAAAATAAAAATGAGTAAACAACAATATCATATTCATAAAATAGCGTTTTGAGTTTTGATTAAAATATCAGTGGTATAGGAACATGTAATAATGAAAGACTATTTAGCATGGAGAATGAGTTTTGTATTCAATGTATTGAAGACTTTAGGAATGATAAATTAACATTTATTCTAGATACATTTAGTTATAAATAGTAATCAATGGAATCCAAGCAGGATGGGCGTCAAATCCGAAAGTTAGTCCTTGCCTCCGCATGTCATATACTTCGTCATGTCCATTAAATATCCCGGTACGTATAACCTGTACTAATTAAACCCTACCTTATCATACCTCGTGTCGTATACTTGGTCATGTCCATTAAATATCCCGGTACGTATAACCTGTACTAATTAAACCCTACCTTATCATACCTCGTGTCGTATACTTGGTCATGTCCATTAAATATCCCGGTACGTATAACCTGTACTAATTAAACCCTACCTTATCATACCTCGTGTCGTATACTTGGTCATGTCCATTAAATATCCCGGTACGTATAACCTGTACTAATTAAACCCTACCTTATCATACCTCGTGTCGTATACTTGGTCATGTCCATTAAATATCCCGGTACGTATAACCTGTACTAATTAAACCCTACCTTATCATACCTCGTGTCGTATACTTGGTCATGTCCATTAAATATCCCGGTACGTATAAACTGTACTAATTAAACCCTACCTTATCATACCTCGTGTCGTATACTTCGTCATGTCCATTAAATATCCCGGTACGTATAACCTGTACTAATTAAACCCTACCTAATCATACCTCACGATAACAATGCTATAATCAACATCAAATCTGCCGGCACTATAAATTCAATTTTATTGATTAAATATTCTAAAATATTTTGATTAAGTATCAATCCAAATATTGCCCCAATGACACACACAAGAGTAACCAATTAACATTGGTTTACACAGAATAATCACCGTAAAGTTAGAGATTAAGGTGTAGGGTTACCTGCCCGACCACGTGGTTTTACCCCGGGTACTCCGGTTTCTTCCCACATAACAGACGCCTTACGCGCTTACATCCGGGTTAACAAAAAAGATTAATATAAACTTAAAGCTTTTGAAATTGTTATAAAATAAATAAGGTCTCTATCTTAATGTGGGACCTCAGCAACATCCATTTGCCCACGTATAAAAGTAAGGTGTAAGGGCAAGTTCTGTGCATGTGTTTTCTTGTTTGCGCTTTCAACCACTCAAATAAGTTCGGTAAGGTTAAAAAAGCCCCCCCCCCCCTCCCTCCCCCAATGCTTTTTATTATTACGAAAAACAGTCTCCTTACCAATAACTTTTAATCATTCGGTTGAATTAGATGTTTGCCTAGTTAACATTTACACCTGGTCCTATGTCAAAAGAATGGTATTTTTTACCCACTCTTTATCACATCAGGGATCGTGTTCTAAATGAGGAATGTAAACATGGCTTTTGTGTATTATAAATTTTGACTTTTAAAAAGATCATCGTTGTTTATACAATGAAATAATATCAATAGTGTTATTCCAATCCGAAATATTTCTCTATTTTTTTCAAATATGAATGTTTTTGTTTACAAACGGACTTAAGTATTTAGGTAATGACTTTGTGGCATTGTAATTATCCAATCAAAACAGCGATGCAGTCCGTGGGACCGGAATTTATCGGTCGGGTTTTAAATCTAATAAATAATAACACAGTGATATTGTATTTGTGATGAATGTTTGTAAGACTAATAATCAAGTACATTCATCTATCGAAATGTTGAAGTTTTTACTAGACAGACCTATAATTATTTGTGAATTGTGATTGTGAAGTGTTTACAGCGCCTGCTTGTGCAGTGTGAATGGTAAGGAGAGTTTTGTACCTTTCCCATGATCGTCTAGAGACTGTATCTGTTCTATTCACTCTAACGAAATGGGACATTTTTTGAAACCTTGAAAACTTTCTTTTTTCTCTTCCTTATCTTTTTTTTTTAATTTCACACCTGACACAGAATTTTTTTTTATAAATCCTTCTGACTGGAAACCTTACCAAACTTGCACACCATAAAAATTGAATGTGAGATGTGAATTTCGCTAAAATATCTAATACTATGATTTCACTCCATTTTGAAATACTGTTCCCGTCTAAAAATATCATGGAATATTAATAACTTTCTTTTTACTTCGCAGTAACCCACCCTGATAAAATAAATTGATACGCCTGTTGTAGGTGAGGTTGGTATCTATGTGAAGATTTATGACGCTAAAGCCGAGAACGTACATGACGTAGGATCAGAACAGTACTATCGTATGGACTTAATGGATAAACTACTCGAGTTGTACCAAGGCGCTGATATTGTCAAAATGAAGGCCGCCCTGGACCGGAAACACTTGTTTCAGGGAGCATATCTTGAACGATTCGAAAAGGGTACGTTAAAATATATCTATCTCAAAAGTAATTAAATGTCCTCATCAGATACCACCACACTGACCAAGATGTAAACATGTTCGCAGATTATGTTTACGTCAAACATTTACAAATGTTTATGAGAGAGAAAAAAGTTTTGAATGTTTTGGTAAGTGGATATCCTGCAATTTATATACACAAGGGATATCCTGCTATTTATATACACAAGGGATATTGTGTTATTTATATACACCAGGGATATCCTGCTATTTATATACACAAGGGATATCCTGCTATTTATATACACAAAGGATATTGTGTTATTTATATACACCAAGGATATCCTGCTATTTATATACACAAGGGATATCCTGCTATTTATATACACAAGGGATATTGTGTTATTTATATACACCAAGGATATCCTGCTATTTATATACACAAGGGATATCCTGCTATTTATATACACAAGGGATATTGTGTTATTTATATACACCAAGGATATCCTGCTATTTATATACACAAGGGATATCCTGCAATTTATATACACAAGGGATATTGTGTTATTTATATACACCAAGGATATCCTGCTATTTATATACACAAGGGATATTGTGTTATTTATATACACCAAGGATATCCTGCTATTTATATACACAAGGGATATTGTGTTATTTATATACACCAAGGATATCCTGCTATTTTTATACACAAGGGATATCCTGCTATTTACATTGTATATACACCAGGGATATCCTGCTATTTATACCGACAAGGGGTATCCTGCTATTTATATACACAAGGGATATTGTGTTATTTATATACACCAAGGATATCCTGCTATTTATATACACAAAGGATATTGTGTTATTTATATACACCAAGGATATCCTACTATTTTTATACACAAGGGATATCCTGCTATTTACATTGTATATACACCAGGGATATCCTGCTATTTATACCGACAAGGGGTATCCTGCTATTTATATACACAAGGGATATCCTGCTATTTATATACATCAGGGATATCCTGCTATTTATATCCACAAGGGATATCCTGCTATTTATATACACAAGGGATATCCTGCTATTTACATTGTATATACACCAGGGATATCCTGCTATTTATACCGACAAGGGGTATCCTGCTATTTACATACACAAGGGATATCCTGCTATTTATATACATCAGGGATATCCTGCTATTTATATCCACAAGGGATATCCTGTTTTTTATATACACCAGGGATATTCTGCTATTTATAAACATCTAAGATAACCTGCTATTCATATATATCATGCCAAATCCATATGTTTATATACACCAGGAAATATCCTGCTATCTATATACCCCAGAAATTACCCTCATATTGGTATGTTTCAGGGATTACCCTGCTATCTTTATACCTCAGGAATTACCCTGATATTGGTACGTTTCCGGGATTACCCTGCTATATATATTTAACTCAGGAATTACCCTGATATTGGTACGTTTCAGAGATTACCCTGCTATATATATACCCCAGTAATTACCCTGATATTGACATGTTTCAGGGATTACCCTGCTATATATATACCCCAGGAATCACCCTGATATTGGTATGTTTCAGGGATTATCTTAGCGGTTGGATTTGATGATGTGGATGCCTTGGAGACTGTTTGGAACCTCCACAAGGACGATAAACTACAAAGAGCATTACAAGAGGTGTTGATGACGTCAACCATACTCCATTCACTTGGAGCCAGCAACATTACCCTATGGATTAAGATGATGGAGGACGAGTATACGAATTGTAAAAACGAAATTCTTTGTCGAAAGATGGCGAAAATGAACATATCATCTTTACGTACGTTTAAGTTTGTATACAGTGCCTATTACGTAAGAAGCGTCCATCCAATTGTTTTATATTATCTGTAGATACATGTTCAATCAGGCCACAAAGAATACAGTCGATAACTACAAAACGTTTACAACATAATAGTCGATAACTACAAAACGTTTACAAAGTATATAGTTGATAACTACAACACGTTTACAAAGTATATAGTCGATGACTACAAAACGGTTACAAAGAATATAGTCGATAACTACAAAACGATTTCAAAGAATATAATCGATAACTACAAAACGGTTACAAAGTATATAGTCGATAACTACAAAACGGTTAAAAAGAATATAGTCGATAACTACAAGACGATTACAAAGAATATAGTCGATAACTACAAAACGGTTACAAAGAATATAGTCGATAACTACACAACGGTTTCAAAGAATATAGTCGATAACTACAAAATGGTTATAAAGAATATAGTCGATAACTATAAAAACGGTTACAAAGAATAAAGCGATAACTACAAAACGTTTACAAAGAATATAATCGATAACTAGAAAATGGTTATAAAGAATATAGTCGATAACTATAAAACGGTTACAAAGAATAAAGCGATAACTACAAAACGTTTACAAAGAATATAGGCGATAACTAGAAAATGGTTGCAAGGAATATCGTCATAAATACAATGAGGTTACAAGGAATATACACTCGATAACTACAGTAACGTTTAAAGGAATATAGTCGATAAAACACTATCGTTGTAAGGAATATAGTCGAAAACTACAATTAGATAACCATGAATATTGTCGATAAACATCTTTTTTATTTGAATTTCAAGGAATTTGGTCGATAAGTATAATTTGGTTACCAGGAGTATATAGTCGATAACTACAATCAGGTCACAAGAAATGAATATGGTTTTAAATTCATTTCCAATAGCCAATAACGTCTTTGTACATTCCACACATAATACAAAGACAATTAGGTGTTGGTATTAATACAAATAATAACTTTCAATCTCACATGGTGACGTCATTCACATGAAATTTACAGTAGAAAACTACACATATATACACAGGAAACTTGTACATTCACAACAGTGCAGTCTGATTACAGGATCACACCATATTTTTATCGAGAAAAGTGTGAGCGAAAGATGCAAGAAAAATAGAAAACAACCAGATTAATTTGTAGAAAGTATCGGCTGTTTCTTTATAGCAATCGGGTCACTATTTATTCATGTGAAGAAGCTAAAAAACATCCCCCTCCCTCTCTTTCTGAAATTAATATGCTTTTATCAACCCAAGTTATGTATTTCCTGTAATTTGTATTGCATATATATAGTTTTATGGAAGGGGCGATTATCAGTTGCAATATATTGTGCCAAATCCATTTTTTTACAATAAAATATGTTAAATCTACAGAAACTTAAGGTACACAAGAAACGTAATTGATCACTTTAATTAAATCAGAAAAAGACATGGTCGGTCGACAAAATCAGGACAGATCATATGTTACCAGTGATAAATATGTAAAAATTGTCACTGATCACGATATCTAGATATTGTTTGTCAATATCTCTTTCACTTAAAGGAAATGTCAACATTTTTTATTGTCGTTTTAGCGGCTGATGTCAAAGTCTTAAAGTCAATGAAAAAATACCAAGAGAAACTAAGTAAAGACGCACAGGACATCCGGGACATTGAGAGCAATGTCGAACACAAACTCGGGGAGTTTCTGCTCACAATGAAACAAATACTGCCAAAGGACGTGACAGCAATTAAAACATTAAAGGAGTTTGAAACCTGCCACAAAGTTGCGAAAGGAGCCGGAAAGAAAACAGCCTCATTGGATGCGTTTGCAAATACTTTGAAACAACTGAGAACAACATTTAACGAAATCGAGAATGGTGTTTGTAACCCGATGCTTCAGATACACAAGGTATGCGAGAACGAAAAACAACAGGAACTGAAACAGAAAATAAGGCAAACATGCAATGATGCGTTAGCGCTACTCAAACCGGAAGTTGATTTAACACAAGTATCACACCCAGATTGGCAGAAGAAAGTATTACAACGCGAGCAGGAACTATATCGCGGACTTATATGCGTCATACCGCTGACGTGCGGCGCTGTGATGGACTGTAGTTTCATGCTGGATGAATATTTATTGGATTATCCTAGCCAGGTTTATAAATAGAGACACAAAAAATGTTGTATGTCCTGTTACGTGCATAATCTGTTGGATATCAACGAAAACTTTCAGAGTCTGTTAAAAAGACTGTAAAAAGAACAAAACGTGATTACAAGATATAGAGAGTACATATTGTGCCTGTAAGGTGACGCACTTCATTCGTTAGAAATTTGTAGTTCGTAATTCCAATATCCTCGATAGTTTTTGAAGCGTATCGTCAGAGAGGTTGTCTTTATATCAGATGCATTTCACGGTGTGTCTATTTACCCTGATAACTGGTACTATTTCAATATATTTACTTTTTATCTTTTTTATATTCTAGATACAATATTTCTGTTGTTTTTTTTTTCAATTTATTTGTGTTTATATCTATATATGTTTTAGAGGATGTTTATGTTGTTTTCTAGTCTTTCATATATATCAGTTATTTAAAATAAATTTATGTATGTGTGCTTATTTTCAATAATTAAACATTTAGCCACAATTAAATCTTATTTTATTAATTAAATATACAACATAAAAGCCGTTTGATTACTTCCAATATTATTACTTTTAAAAAACGGACCGGGTTTCTGTTAATCAGAGCTGACGGGTCGGTGTGGCTTGTACATAGTATACTGGGAGGCAAAAAACGCAATTAGGAATGACCAGGTCAACTACCGGAAAAGGGTTTTAGAATGTAATTATAGTGTAACTGGAAGATAGTTGACCACTCTGTCATCTACGAGAATTTCATTCGTGTACGTTAAGTAAACCTTTCAAATTTGACGTTGATTCAAGAGTACCCCACTCAAAATGAAGTGCATTCTGGACCCATCAATATCGTGTGTGCCCCCCGCGAGCTACAGTAACTGCTCGAACTCTTTTGTGAATTGAATTGATCGGGGTATTAACCCTACTCATTGGTATACGATTCCATTCCTGATCCAGCGCCAACGACAACTGAGCGACGTTGATTGGATGATTCGGCCTACGTCTTATTCTTCTGTCCAACTTGTCCCATAAATGTTCTACTGGGAAGAGGTCAGGGCTGTGTGGGGCCAGCCTAGGGTGAGGACCACGGCAAACCCTCGCGACATGCGGCCGGGCGTTGTCCTGCTGAAAAGTCAGTTGACGCTGATGTACCAGAGGAACAACATGCGGCGCTAGGACTTGATCTCTATAGCGGACGGCCGTGAGATTTCCCTGAATAACGACCAGAGGAGTCTTGATACCATGTGCAATTCCTCCCCATACCATACCGATTCTCCTCCAAAGCGTTCATTCTCTACCACGCAAGCATCTGCATAGCCATCGTGGATACGTCTATAGATACGAAGAGGACCCTTCTCCAACGTTGCATTGGGAAGCGTCTTACGGAATGTGCGTTCAACCATTGCATTCGTCTTTCACGTCGCCGCGCATTAAGCTGTGGTCCAACATATGGCCGCCGCGGTCTTAGACCGAAGGCACGCTGTCGAGTATGCACTGTCTTTGGATCAATTGGAACATGATGACACCCAATTGTGTTCCTTGCTGTTTCCGTGGCCGTCAGTAAGCGATTGCGTAGGTGCGAAAGTCGCATTGCCCTATCCTGCCGACGCGTCGTCACACGAGGGCGACCGCTTCGGGGACGGTCTGCAACCATTCCGATGGCATGTAGTCTTTGGATGAGACGTCAAATGTTTGATGGATGGACTTCAAATTGATTAGCGACCTGATTTTGCGGGGTACCTTGCATAAGAAGTGCAATGGCACGACCCCTGTCAACTTCGGACAGTCGTGGCTTTTTTTACGGTGAACTGTTTATGCTTAAAATGTGGGGAAATCAAGACGGATATGTCTGAAGATTTGCACAAACAGATTTTGAACCAATTCTTTATGCTGGGTTCGAGATATCGTGCTTTTGTCTCGTATTCTTTTGTACAAGCGGCGTGCGCAGTTTAGATATGCATCAGTGATTTTAATACGGTACCATAGGGACCTAACTCAAATGCACACATTTGTCAAGTTTCAAGTGGGTACTTCAAGGATTTAATTTACAATATTAACTTTCTGCTAATTGCGTTTCTTTTTCCTCTCAGTATATTTAAATACGATCTTTTTAACTCAGTAGAAGGTTCGGTGTGACTTGTATATAGTGTTAGATACGATCTCTGTCACTCAGCTGACAGGATGGTGTGACTTGTATATAGTGTTAAATACGGTCTCTGTTACCCAGCTGACAGGATGGTGTGACTTGTATATAGTGTTAGATACGATCTCTGTCACTCAGCTGACAGGATGGTGTGACTTGTATATAGTGTTAAATACGACCTCTGTCACTCAGCTGACAGGATGGTGTGACTTGTATATAGTGTTAAATACTGTCACTCAGCTGACAGGATGGTGTGACTTGTATATAGTGTTAAATACGGTCTCTGTCACTCAGCTGACAGGATGGTGTGACTTGTATATAGTGTTAAATACGGTCTCTGTCACTCAGCTGACAGGATGGTGTGGCTTGTATATAGTGTTAAATACGACCTCTGTCACTCAGCTGACAGGATGGTGTGACTTGTATATAGTGTTAAATACGACCTCTGTCACTCAGCTGACAGGATGGTGTGACTTGTATATAGTGTTAAATACTGTCTCTGTCACTCAGCTGACAGGATGGTGTGACTTGTATATAGTGTTAAATACTGTCTCTGTCACTCAGCTGACAGGATGGTGTGGCTTGTATATAGTGTTAAATATGACCTCTGTCACTCAGCTCTGGTGTGGCTGTATATAGTGTTAAATACGACCTGTCACTTAGCTGACAGGATGGTGTGACTTGTATATAGTGTTAAATATGACCTCTGTCACTCAGCTGACAGGATGGTGTGGCTTGTATATAGTGTTAAATACGACCTCTGTCACTCAGCTGACAGGATGGTGTGACTTGTATATAGTGTTAGATACGATCTCTGTTACCCAGCTGACAGGATGGTGTGACTTGTATATAGTGTTAGATACGATCTCTGTCACTCAGCTGACAGGATGGTGTGACTTGTATATAGTGTTAAATACTGTCTCTGTCACTCAGCTGACAGGATGGTGTGTCTTGTATATAGTGTTAAATACTGTCTCTGTCACTCAGCTGACAGGATGGTGTGACTTGTATATATTGTTAAATACGACCTCTGTCACTCAGCTGACAGGATGGTGTGACTTGTATATAGTGTTAAATACTGTCTCTGTCACTCAGCTGACAGGATGGTGTGACTTGTATATAGTGTTAAATACTGTCTCTGTCACTCAGCTGACAGGATGGTGTGACTTGTATATAGTGTTAAATACTGTCTCTGTCACTCAGCTGACAGGATGGTGTGACTTGTATATAGTGTTAGATACGACCTCTGTCACTCAGCTGACAGGATGGTGTGGCTTGTATATAGTGTTAAATACGACCTCTGTCACTTAGCTGACAGGATGGTGTGACTTGTATATAGTGTTAAATACGACCTCTGTCACTCAGCTGACAGGATGGTGTGACTTGTATATAGTGTTAAATACGATCTCTGTTACCCAGCTGACAGGATGGTGTGACTTGTATATAGTGTTAAATACGATCTCTGTTACCCAGCTGACAGGATGGGGTGTGGCTTGTATATAGTGTTAGATACGATCTCTGTCACTCAGCTGACAGGATGGTGTGACTTGTATATAGTGTTAAATACGACCTCTGTCACTCAGCTGACAGGATGGTGTGACTTGTATATAGTGTTAAATACGATCTCTGTTACCCAGCTGACAGGATGGTGTGACTTGTATATAGTGTTAAATACGATCTCTGTTACCCAGCTGACAGGATGGTGTGACTTGTATATAGTTTTAAATACGATCTCTGTTACCCAGCTGACAGGATGGTGTGACTTGTATATAGTGTTAAATACGATCTCTGTCACTCAGCTGACAGGATGGTGTGACTTGTATATAGTGTTAGATACGATCTCTGTCACTCAGCTGACAGGATGGTGTGACTTGTATATAGTGTTAAATACGGTCTCTGTCACTCAGCTGACAGGATGGTGTGACTTGTATATAGTGTTAAATACGATCTCTGTCACTCAGCTGACAGGATGGTGTGACTTGTATATAGTGTTAAATACGATCTCTGTTACCCAGCTGACGGGTCGACAGTCTCTGTCACTCAGCTGATTTGTCAGTGTGGCTTGTATATAGTGCCAAATACAGCCACTATCATTCAGCTGACGGAACACGCTTCTTTAGCTCAAATACTAGGGCCAGTTGAGTGTCATTCCATAGAGTTCGTTTCCTTGTGGGGACTCTCAACACCAATGAGTGTTTCCCATGGTAACAATTGGTTTGTCGACATATAGATATAGTTCTCGACATATTTTAATCCGTAGTTATGACATTTTCCATCGGCATGTGTTTCAAATACGATGCTTCATTTTGAATTGAAACATATCATGAATGCATTGCGGAAAAATATCAGCTGTCGCTGTGAACCCGCACGGAAAAAATCCAAGGCACTTACAGTTGATGTGAACAACAGAAAGGTGTCCGAGGACTCAAAAGATTAACAAGTCCAGAGTATAATTGCAGTTAGAGTATTTACAGTTGTCAACGGAACACCTTTAACGGATTTTTAGTAAGCGACCACACCATAAAAAACTAGTTTTCGCGCCAAGCAACTAGTTAGTCCTTTAAATTGTATCCGAGATTAAGAAGAAAAATAGTGTGACAGAAAACCACTGTGAAGTGTATTGCAAATCTAATTCATTACATCACGATACCATTTTTACAGCGAGCCTTTCCCCCTTTACTTGACAATCTATTAGCATTTTAAATGAGGATGTGTAATCGGACACTTATGGAAAACCCGCAGATTCACATGTCAACATCATGTATATCGATTATTATTAAAATATTTCATAACATGAGAATCTTTTTTTTTTTTATTTTGTTTTTCAAGATTTTACAAAGGTATGCAACACACGTTATATACTAGACTCACATACACATACACACCCTGG